CCTCAATGAAATCAAGGATTCCGTGGTCGCTGGCTTCCAGTGGGCCTCGAAGGAGGGTATCATGGCTGACGAGAACATGCGCGGTGTCCGCTTCAACATCTATGATGTGACTCTGCACGCTGACGCCATCCATCGCGGTGGTGGCCAGATCATTCCAACCACCCGTCGTTGCCTGTACGCCGCCGCCATCACTGCCGGTCCCCGTCTGATGGAGCCCGTGTATCTGTGCGAGATTCAGTGCCCAGAGGTCGCCGTCGGCGGCATCTACGGTGTGCTGAACAGACGTCGTGGACATGTGTTCGAGGAGAACCAGGTGGTCGGCACCCCCATGTTCGTGGTCAAGGCATATCTGCCCGTCAACGAGTCGTTCGGCTTCACCGCCGATCTGCGCTCCAACACCGGAGGACAGGCCTTCCCTCAGTGCGTGTTCGACCATTGGCAGGTGCTGCCCGGTGATCCGTGCGAGCCAGCCAGCAAACCCTACCAGATTGTCCAGGATACCCGCAAGCGCAAGGGTCTCAAGGAGGGTCTTCCCGATCTTTCCCAGTACCTGGACAAATTGTAAGCTGCTGCTGCTACCACAAACACCATCCCCCCCACAGCAACAACAACAAAAACAACGTAATGCTGGCTGAGAGTATGAGGAGAAGGATCAAAGCGAGCGTCCACCCAACTAAGCAACTCCCTACAACATCGACGTCGCTGCGGCCGCTGGCAGCGTTTTAAATAAAGTGAAACAACAACCACATTTAAAGAAATTTTGATTATTAATTGTATAACAGTAACACCATAATAAATCACGTAAATGATTATATCTTTAAGTCTATATAAAACAAAATACACATGGTGTGGTCGAAACGAAAATAGAATGTCCGGGGGTGGGGTGAGGAGAGATCCAAGGTGATATGGCAGCTGTATGTATTTAAATATAGTGTATTCGAATCAATTTATTCTATTCTGAAATACATTAACTTGTGTTAAATGTATTCAAAAAATCCGCCGCATATCGATAGCAGAACCGCGATAACAAACCATCGATAGCTTCAGCAATGCAACCGCGGAAATGGAGAAAAATGTAAACATGGAAACAATAAAAATAGAACCTGAATTAGATGAAGATGCGGCGCAAAATGACACAGGGGATGCTTCAGGATCGGATAACTGCAATCTGGAGGTCAAGACTGAACCGGAAATTGATATAGGCCCAATTTGTGTGGAGGAGTCGAAGAGGCTCTATGACATCAGCCGGCTTAGAGCATTTGGCGATGTGCCTTTTGTTATAAAGCGCATGGAGCTCAAAGACTTTCCCCTAAGCTATACCAAGGCTGTGACCAGCGTCGAGAAGCTACTGGCATGGCTGCGACGCAATAAGGTGCCAAATGGAATTGGGATTGCCTTTCGCATTGCGCAGCACATGCCGTCCTCGTGCATTCTGATATTGGCGTAGGTGGAGATTTGTTCTGTAAATATACTCATAAACTAATCGCTTCCAATTCCAGGATCCTCAACCACAAATGCCACTTCTTTGCGACCGACAAAATGATGCTGTCGAAGGCTCTGCACGGGCAAATGTGCACCGCTGGTGTCGATTATCTAGTGGTCAGCGGGCACATGTCCGTCGGCGCTGTTTATTTCGAGCGGATCGACATATGTTTGGTCTACAACGAGGAATACAAGCTATTCAAGCTGAAACGCACTCCTACCGATCCACCGGTGCAGGCGAAGAAGCCTCTGCCGGGCAATATGTGCTACACAATCACGACAACAGGTACGACGGGAACTCCCAAGCTGATTCACGTGCCCTATGAATGTATTGCTCCTAATGTATTGGCGCTCAGGTAGGTGAATATGTAAGTTGAATGTGCCCAGTGATACTCATGCTCTGTCAGCCAGAAGCTGAATGTCTCCATGGCCGACATAATCTTTTTGGGTACCCCCTGCACCTTCGATCCCTTTGTTGTGGAGCTCTTTCTCGCACTCCAAACCGGAGCCGCCCTACTGGTCAGTCAACACACGATGAGGGAAGCCCCATCAAAGGTTCTTAGTGCGCTTTTTCCCACCAGCGTGAACCCGACGGGCATTACTATTCTGCAGATGACGCCCTCGCTATTCAGGCAATTCGGAGCGACTGCAATACGCGAACGAATCTTAAGTAACTCCAGTACACTAAGGTGAGTGTATACTTATCCATTCATGGAGTTCTTACCACCTTGAATCGATTACAGAGTGCTTCTTCTTGGTGGTGAACCATTTCCATCCAGTGCAGAGCTGACCACGTGGATGGACCCACGTGTTCTGTTGCAGAAACACATTTGCAACATCTACGGAATCACAGAAGTATCGTGTTGGAGTCTACTGCACATTTTACATTCCCTGCAAACGCAAATGCCACTGGGCACTCCCATCGATGACGAAACGGTGATACGGATTCAATACCAGACCAATCGAAATATGGAGCACGGAGAGCTCTTCCTCGGCAGCGCCACACGGCGTTGCTATATCCCGGAAATCGATGACGTGGAAAAGGCGAAAGAGGACTCTGCCATTTGTTTTCGATCAACTGGAGATCTGGTTATTCGCTTGGAGGATGGAACAATATGCTATGGCGAGCGCGCCAATGATGTGGTCAAGCGAGCCGGCAATCGTATCAGTTTGGGTGAGCTATGGAACATTCATTTGATACAGCTCCATCTAAACCAAGTCATCTTATCCCAAATCCAGGCTTAATCACTCGTAAAATTGAGAAATGTTTGCCCAGCGGAGAGCTAGCTAGTTGCCTGTGGCTCGAGGAACTCCAGAAGCTCATCTGTTGCATACGTACGTTGGAAATTAAGACCAAGGTGCAGCAGCGGGCCCAGACTTTCGATATACTGTCCAAGCTTTTGAATGCGGAGCAGCCAGACAGATTTATCTATCAGCAGCACTTCCCCTGCAATGTTCATGGGAAATTGGACAAGGAATTGTTGCTCAAGGAGTGCATACCTCTGGCTCAGCCCGCCCAGGAAATATTAAAGAGTTTCCTACACGACAGACTGGAATGTGTGGACGTATCGAATGAGAGAATAACCAAGAAGCAACGGCTGGAGCACAGCCAACCCTGTGGGTTTGACCTGAGCTTTCGTCAGGCGGGAGGCACCTCCTTTCATGCCATTACGATTTGTCGAGAGATTGGCCTGCAAATGTGCATCGACGATGAGCAGCGACACTTGTTCGAGATGCTGCTCGACGAGAATGTTCCACTGCGCACCGTCCTGCGCTTTCTCGATACGGCCAAGCTGGTGGCAAATAATACCAAACTGAAGCCGGTGGAACCGTTGCCAACCAAGACGGTAAACTGCGCTACTGGAATCAGTGGCAGCTGTGGTCTGACCATCACCCGTATCGAGCAGCCGGAGATTAAATTCCAATTCCATTGGAAGGTCAACTTCAGCAAGTGCATCGATTCGCCCGTGTCGCAGTACGAGGAACGCTACATTTGCGTGGGCGCACATTCCCAGATTTTACGCACCCTGGATCCTCAAACCGGTATCGAGCTGAGCAACGTAAAGCTTCCGGATCGGATTGAGTGCAAAGTGACGTTCCTCAGCGAGCAGCTGGCCATGGTGGGCTGCTATGATGGTTGCCTCTACGGCTTCAATCCCCTCACTGGCGATATTGTGTGGCGCGTGGAGATTGGCGGCATGATCAAGGCCCAGCCATTGCTGACGGCCGACGGCTCCCGAATTGTGGTCTGCAGCTATGCCGAGGACTACAATGTGTATTGCCTGTCCGCCGAGCGGCAGGAAGTGCTCTGGTGCATGAGGATTGGTGAAAAGGCAATATTCGCGAGACCCCTGGAGTTGCCCAATGAACAGTCGCTGGTCATCTGCACACTGGACGGTGGCTATACGAGGGTCGCTCTCACCGACGGATCCGTTGAATGGGCGCAAAAGTGCAAGGAGCCATTGTTCGCCACTCCTGTCCTTCTGGACTCGAAGCCAAGCCATTTCCTGTGTGCCGAAGTGGCTGGACGTGTGCATGCGTGTCATGTGGGCAATGGAAAGATTGTAAGTTAAATTTTAGTAAAACTCTATTTCTTTAAGCAATCATTGAATTTCAAATATACAGATGGCTACGTACACTGCTGAGGGCAACATCTTCTCCTCGCTGGTCGTCAAGACGCCACCCACACACATGGGCTATTCCTTTGTGGTCTTTGGCTGCATCGATCGTCATGTGTATTGCCTACGATGCAACACAGAACGGGTGCGACAACCGGTCTACTTCGAACTCCAATGGAAGGTCGATATGGGAGCCCCTATATATGCCACGCCCACACTACTCACGATTCAGCTCATCGGCCATTTGGTTTGGAGCAGCGCCACCGACGGCCGCGTCGTTTTGATGAATTTTCACAATGGCCAGATTCAGTGGTCGGCCAAGCTGCCTGGCGAAATATTTTCCACTTCCTGCTATATAGAGAGCCTCCGGCGAGTCTACGTGGGATGTCGAGATAATTATTTATACTGCCTGGGCGTCTAGGCCACGTGAATACAGATGGATTTATGAAGATCTCGACATGCCAGCAAATTAACATTATGTTAAATAAGATTTTATGAAGTGTGACATGAAATTAGATTTCATTGGTCACATTTTTTTTTTGTAATCTAATTGTAATTAAGTATTAATCATTATTTTGTATATAATTTGCACATTAAAGATTAATCATGAAGGAAATATGTTTTTCGGATCACAGAAAGACGTCAAACGACCCAACAACATAATTACTACAAAAACAACAACCACTTTGAATCGCCATCAAAATCGAGATTTTTCGATTTTCAGATCTGCCCTACCAGGGGACCAGAAATGAGCAGAAAGGTGATTTTTGTATTGAAAATTTTTTGTTGCATACTTTTAAGGTAAAACCGGACAAAATAAAATCTGTTAATCACACATCGCACATAATACTAGTTTTCTCTAAACCCTCTTGTACATATGCTAAAGTGAAATAATAAAAATAGAACTTGTTTGTGAATTTATTTGCCAAAAAAGTGCCCAAACTCGACATATGTATTGATGTTTTTTTTAGTACTAATAATTTTGAATATATATTTTATGCCGAAATTGAGATACAATAGGGCAAATGCCGAGAAAGATGCGGAATGCGAGGTGGAAAATGTACGCATCATGAATTTTTGGCATCTTCCATTCATCCACGAAGCCCGAGCATTGTTTTCCTCCGTTGATGTTCTCTTTTTGAGGGACCTCTGACCAAGATGCCACTGGGTTCCTTTCGGATTCAACTTGCTTCCAATTTAGTTACCACCAAAAATGCGCTCAACAAACACTTCAACATGTCCATTGCAATCACAAACTTTTTTTGTTTGGAATGGTTGAGGACGTGGGATGGAGTATAGAAGTGTGTGTGCTCCCTCCCAGCCACTCCCAGACCAGGGCCAGAGCTTGTCCGATCCTAAAAGCCACCTGAGGGAAGAGGAGGATAAGCATAGATGAATACGACAGCTACTTGGCCTACTTACGCGGGACGGGACTTTACGGAGGGGCTTGATTCTAGTGCGGACCGAATGAGGAATACGGATGCTCGGAGGATCGGATGCTGGTCCTAGCAGCAGCATTTCGGCGGCGTATTGTAGCAGTGGGCTTTACAGGGCGCACACCAAACACAGGGCCTGTTCTCCTCCTTTTTCGCAAGGTAGCGGGCACAGCAGGGAGCTTTAGGATACAACGGAGGTTACACCACTGATCTTTTCTGATCCAAGTTTGTTGGTGCTGTGGCACGCTCAGTATCCAAACATGCGGAATGCTCCTCACCACTACGCTGTCCCATATTATGCACGGACAGACAGGACAAAGAAACGACACGCGGAAAGGAATAACAAGGAGCCCAGGATGGACAGCTCCAGGGCCAAGGCGGACGAGAACTTACATGGATACGATGGGGGGGTATTACAACAATTCCAGACCCGTGGATCGGGTATACCACCCTCGGGCAAAGGGGGACAGCAACAACCCGGCGCAGGGGAGCAAGGTATAGGCGAAGGAGCACCACATGGAGGACTGTGCGGGCCACAACACGCAGTTGTATTACAGGGTCCACAGCAAGGACCAGGCGATGAGCATGGCCCGGCGGAGCAGCAACCACCGGCGGCACGACCACCGCAAGCGCCGCCGCCACCGCCACCGCCACCGCCTGCTCCAGTTGCTTGACAACGCATCCGCTTGTTGTTCACGCCCATCGTCATATTGGCGTAGCGCAAAGGAAATGCTGATGGTCCGCAATTCGGGTACGGAAAGCACAGACACGCCGGCCTTCCCTGGCAGGCCGATCGCGGACACTTATCCTGGAGCCCATTGCGCTTCACACAATCGCAGGTGGTGTACATGATGCCGCACCGCAGTTCTCGGCTGCGGCAGCCTCGGGGCTGTAATGAAAGAGGATGCCAATGAGTACCAAAAGGCGGGCTACGATGCAACTGCAATTGTCTTGATCGTAGCACACACGTCGGAGGTTTGGTTGGGTTTGGTTGGGGTTATTGTTATTGGCTATGGGCTATGGGTAGCGAGCAACATGAGGGACAGTATTTCCACCCAAGTCTACTGCCTCCATGTCGCTCACACTGTGGCATTAGCGTCTACACGGGGGTCCACAGGATTCAGTAGGGCCGCATGGCCCACAAGGACCGCACGGCCCACAAGGACCGCACGGCCCACAAGGACCGCACGGCCCACAAGGACCGCACGGCCCACAAGGACCGCACGGCTCACAAGGACCGCACGGCCCACAAGGACCGCATGGAGCACAAGGACCGCATGGTGCACAAGGGCACGGTGGCTGAGGTAAATAGTTGATCGGCCCATTGGGGTAGCAGCAGAATTCTCGGGGCGGTGGGACATCTATCAATTGCGGCTTCGGCTGGCACAGAATCGATTGGCACACCTCCCGCGGCTCACAGATCCGCTTCGGATAGCACACCACATAGGGATCAGGTACCATCGATGGATAGTAGATGACCCGGGGCTCGCGCACCATCTGCGACACCCACACGAGCTTCGGCACCTGAATGACCCTCGTCACATCCACCACCTTGGGTATGGTTATCTGCCGACACCGATTGACCACCATCGGTTCGGGTACTATCTTCTCCGTGAACACCACTTGCTTCTTGCAGATCATCCGCGGCGGCTGCTGGACCGTGATGCAACCCGGACAGGGTGGTGGTATGCGTGGTGGACACTGGGGCATCGCCTCCAGTTGAGCGGCATTGTAGCAGTTGGGCGAGCACTGGACGACGACGACGGATGCAGTTGCAGTAGCAGGTGCAGAAGCGGATGGAGGATACCGGATGGGGTACGCGACACAGTATACGCTGTACGGATCGAAGACAATTGCAGCCGAGGTCACTTACCGCGAATGGTCCACACGGATCGCACATGATTTTCTTTAGAGCGCTGCATGATGAAATAAACAGACATAAACGCAATTAGCATAATAGCATAAAAGAAAACAAATTGGGTCTTAATTATTTATATGCTTACAATTTTTGGTTGGTTTTTCCGAAAAATAAAATTTAGAATTTGTACAAAAAATTTAGAAGGCGGCCGAAATGTTTGGATCGAGAGTTAGGAAACGAATGAGAAATTTTGAGAGCTCTAGAGCTACATCGTTTTCTAATTTTTGCTTTCGTTCCGGCAAGGATTACTAGATTACGGACCAAAATTTGAACAACACAATTACATATCATGGGATATGCACATAGACTTCTTCTGCTTCTCTTTTTTCTATTAATTCAGCATTGTCCATTAAACAATAGTCCATTTTGTTGGTTTAGGCTTCTTAAGAGCTATCCAACTTCCCTCGGTGATCCTCGATGATAGTGAAGACTTGAACTTAGTTGGAGCTTGTAATCCTTCATAGTTTGTGGTTGTTTTGGCTGCCATAAGCGATTCCACTTGACTCTTCCATTGCACATTGGCCCAGACATTGGGCTGATATTCTGGAAAATATTCGAAAAATTAAGTTAGAGACTTCAAAGTGGGTACAGTTGATTGTAATGACATGTATATTTAAGAAAAACATTTTAGACCAAGCCAAACCTGCCCATCTCTACCGCCCATATAAGGTGCAGCTTTTAGTAGTTTTTTTTTGTGGAGTATTTATATATTTCTTTATTTATGATTATTTAAGACAATAGTCATTAAAAAAGAATCTCCTTAAATTTATCATTTGGCATTTATTAATTATTTTATCTTTTTTACCGTGGTTGAGTTAAATACACATTGTACATACATATGTCTTCAGTTGCTTAAGCTTCAAGCTCGCGACAGGTGAAGAATTTCTTTGATATCAATCCAAATACTGAGAAGCTTTTTATAGAAAAATTCAGCTTGACCTACAAAATGAAAATAACCGTAAAAATGAAACGGTCGCAATTTATTTAATATACGTTAGTTGACATTCACTTTCCACATTATTTTAACGTAGTGTGTGTCACACGATGGCACAAAAAAAGTTTTTGACCAGAGTAAAATGGTAAGTTGGTTGAGTTTTCTCTAATTATGCAAAGCCCACATTAATAAACACAGCAACTAACTGACAAATATGAACCAACTCGAACATCACACTTTAAAGGGCTACATTAAACTCAAAAATATGAATGCATGTAGTGCCTCTTAACTGAATTCAAGAATTCAACAATTTCAAATGTCAAACCGCTATATCTTTATCAATTGAAAAAGATTTTCTTTCCATGACATTTTCGAATTTATGCCAAAATAGGTGGCCTATGTGCATTGGGTAATCTCCGCAATTGTGAAATAAGAAATAAAATTAATTAGATCATAAGATCATATATGTCTATACTGACCCAGTAGCGTATATAACAGTAGAGCAGCGGCGCTTACCGCAACTCACAACGTTCCAGCGTTTTTGATTGGTAAAGGGTGTATCTGTGTTAACCGAAAGGCAAATATTGTATGGATCAATTGATTCAAAAGGCAACGGTTATCCAGGGCAGAGCAAGCTCACAATTCCTCAATCGCAATCGACATCAAAGCAAAGCTCTGTTATCATCATCAGTTGAGTTTTTTGTGCTGCTTGATAAGCGGCAAGCTCTTTAGTTTGCTCCAAACTTTCAATCCGAACGGAACGTCAAGAGGAATGCCGAACATCGCTGTTATCGGGGCTGGCGTCAACGGTGTCGCCAGTGCCATAAAGATCTTGGAGCACTACCAGAAGGAGGGTAACGGCATCCCTGTGAAGGTGACGATCATCTCGGAGGAATTCTCGCCAAACACCACAGGAGATGGCTCGGCGGGTCTTTGGGGCCCTTATCTGCTGGGTGGCACGGAAAAATCTAAAGTCTAGTGGGATAATCCAATTGATAGTTCTAATACAGCCCATCTTAAGGTTTTATTTCTACAGCAAGTGGTCGAAGAATATGCATAGTTTTCTGGAGCAGATCTGGCTAAGCGAGGATGCCGGCGAGGCTGGTGTTTGTCTCGTGCCCTGCATCCGTCTGAGCACATCCACAGTGGATACTGTCGAGGATTTCTGGCGTGACATTGTTTATGGGGCTCTGGACCTAACCGCTGAACAGCTTGCAGTCTACAATCAAGGCAGATCGGTGAAGTTTACGTACGAATAGAGAATACCCGTTTCAGAACTCTCGTTAACTATTTCGATCTATTAGATCTGGCCTGTCCTTTGTCACATACACCTCAGAGCCCGTGAAACTACTGCCGTATCTCATGAAGCGTTTCGCTCGGAACGGAGGTGCAGTAGTGCAGCAAAAGGTCACAGATCTGGAGAGATTCATCACTGAATCGCCCTACGATGTGATTGTCAACTGTTCGGGTCTGGGCTCCCGCGAATTGCTCAACGATGATCAGATGTATGCCGTGCGCGGTCAGGTTTCCCGAGTGAAAGCCAATTGGATGTTCTCAGCCGTACTGGATGAGAGCGATGATGGCAACTATATAATACCCAAGTATTACCAGACCTAATATACTTGGATTTCCTTTCACATGACCTTTCTTTCTATCTCGCACAGCACTGAGAGTGTCGTACTGGGCGGCACCCACCAGGAGAGGGACTACAACACCAGGGTCTGCGAGAAGGACAAGAAACTTATTGTGGACGGCTGTCGTCAGTTTGTTCCGGGCCTGTGCCACACCAAGCCGCTGTTCGATTGGGTTGGCCTTCGCCCAGGACGTGCAAATTTGCGCCTCGAGGCCGAGCGGCGTGGCCAGAAGCTGCTCATCCACAACTATGGACACGGCGGCAGTGGGGTGACGCTGTGCTGGGGCTGTGCCGATGATGTTCTCGATCTCCTGCTGGCTGCCAAGAATATTTCAAAGTTGTAAAGCCCTCACATTTGTATACAAAATAAACTCTTCCTTCTGGTTAGAATACCAATACCCCCTCAAAAAGGTGTGTACAAAAGCAGGGCATTATCAGCACAATTACAGAGTGCAGTGCATACTGTTTTATGTTCACTATAGGACGGATCGTATTGACGATAAGCTTATCGCTGGCTGCTTGGTCACGTTACCACGTTACTAATGGTCCGATACTCGACACACTCTGACAGGGAACAGCCCAAGAATATGCTGCACATTTCTTGAGAGCAAAATCCTACCACAGCAGAAGAATCTAGAATTCCGCATCATCCTGCTTCTCTGCGGCCTCCTTGGCCAGTTTTGCGGCCAGAGCCTCGTGGAACGCCTCGAATCCAGGCATATCCATGTAATGCACGATCGGACTGACGGGCAGCTCGAAGATCAGAGCGTACATCTCGTCCAGCTCACGGAGTATATCGAAGGGTCGGCTACTCCCCACCTTGTAGATGGAGTAAATGGTGCGTCCGATTTCGTCGTACTCGACAACGCTGGCCGCCGCCTGCTCCACGGTGCTCAGGGCTATGAAGCATACTCGGGGCATGTGCATGTGCTGAGCAACTGCACCGAAGGTGTCGAACATGCACAATAGGAAGTCCCTATTGAAGCACAGGTCGTCGGGGAAGCCGATCTCGTGGACGGTGAGAGAATCGTAGACGGCTAAGCCAAGATTCTCCTTGGTGGCTGCCACAAGTTCCTGCTTCATCATGATCACCTGCTTGAACAGGCACTTGGGTATGGACGAGGGCAGGAAAACCCTGAAGAGGCAGTTACTGTATTAGAGAGATTGAGATGGTGGCAAATGGAATCCACTCACCAGGAATGCCACTCCTCTGTCATCCATTCGAGCAGGCCCACGGCCTTTATCTCCGTCTCATCTGCACTGAGCATCATCACCGAGCACTCGTTCTGCAGAATGTGCCGCACATAGTTCGAGTAGATCTGCCTCATTCCCTCCACTTCGAAAAGGCCCAGACCCTCGAAGACCATGCTCTTCAGGAAGGAGTTCTCCCACATGAAATCGATCACCAGGTCGTAGTGCCTGAGGTAAAGGGTAGTAACGAAAGGGTTGTCATCCTGTCAGCCTGTCGGGGGATCTACTTACTTAAAGTTGATGTCAGTTACTGGCATCCCTTCGTACTCATCCCATTTGATTTCGTATTTCAAAGTGCGTATATCGTCCATTGCAGTCCTCTGTCCTTTACTAATGTTTGGATAACACTGAAGATTTGGTGGTTTTTTTGTCGAATTTTACATAAAATTTAATACAAAAATAAATAATCCGAAAAATACTGATACAGATACTATTTTGTCTAAAGAATGTTTATAAATCGAATATGTCAAGGCAAAGCATACTTCTGGGATGCGGGAATGCTTAGTCTTTTAACCAGATATGTACATATGTAGAGATAGATCTTATATATTTATAAAATTTGCAATAATATACAATAAAATCGTGACCCATCTTGGATCTTAAAGCATCTGTTCAGGATATGAATAAATTGCAATATCCACCCCAAAGAATAACAATAAAATAAATGTTTATTTGTACAACAAAATGCAAATGTCCTGAGCGAGGAAACCTTTTCGAAATAATGTCATAATTAAATGCGATATACAGGCGATAACAATCAAGTGAAATAGGTGTAAATTTAATTTGTCTAATGTCTCAATTTGAATAAATTTCCAGCACAACAAACAAATGCAGCGAAAGGAATTTTAGGTGGGGCCTTTCGTGAGTGTGTGGAGTGTGGGAGTTGGACTGAAACCAAACCAAATCCACCCCCAACAGGATGTACATAAATTCGGAAGTGAGAACACGTCCAGCCATACACCTTGGATTCCATTCCTGTTCGGCTCGCTTGGATGTTGGGTTTTTTTAAAATTCAAAGCCCATCGAGTGTCATTTACTAAACAGGCAACAACCAATTGGCGTCTGGCATCTGGCATTTGGGGATAACTGAATTTGGCCTCGAACGCCGTGTATCCTTCGGAATATGACTGAGGGATGGGGATGTATCAGGATATATTGCCACCCCACGAAGCGACAAAGGAGCGCATTTTTAAATGTTTCACATCCTTGTCCGTGAGACAATTGGATATTTAAATACAAGCGACACTTTTAATGCCCCTCCCCCGCAACGGCTGACACTTGAGCTTGCCCCATCGCTTCCTCTGCCAGTTGTGGTGTATCTATTCCAAGCACGTAGTCGCCACCGTCTCATGTCGGCGGGATAAATTCAATATTGAAAAGAAATAACTTAATTTTTCTTTTTGACATCATACTAATGCTTGGGGGTTCGATTTAGAGTGTGGGATTTCGGTCATAGATGGAAACTGAAATTACGGCCAGCGTTTTCCTTTAAGATAAAGACTCCCCACACATTCAACTAAAAGTAAAACGGATTAAAGATAAAGACTGTTAAGGTACATACTGTATGTACTGGTATAATACTGTTAAGTCCGCCGTGGACTTTATGATGTTGCATAAACTGTTCCGGGCATAAAAACGTCTCATTTGGGACTCATTTAATCCGCCAAATTGTTTACACACACGTGGCACTCAGTGGATCTTCCCTCCTGCCACAAAATGGTGAACCCCTAACCCCCTAACCACAACTTCAAAAAACAACAACAACAACACCAGCCAGCATTCGGAACAATCGCGAATTTGAATTCATTCGAAAATCGTTTACCATTCGTGGGGCTAGGGTGTCGGAGGTTTTTTCCCAGCCAAAACACCTGCGCATTCCCTGAGCACATTTTGTCCTGGTTTGGGGCTGGCTCCATTTGGCAGTTGGAAGAGCTGCGCTGGTCCGTCCTGGCTCCCTGGTTAGCCGTGACTTGCATTCGCTAGCAAAATTCATTCACTCATTCAGTCATTTATTCGCGGCTGTCCTTATACGGCTTTCATTTAAAATCGAAAATGCGCAAATACAAAACCAAATGTAATGGAACAAAAAACCTGCGAGTATGGCGCCCAACTTCGGGATCGCCGAAGTTTATATACCCTGGAAAATACGATAGAAGACCAGCAAATACATATATTTTAGAAATTATCTTAATGCGAATCAGAAATGGCAAAGAAACTGAACAAAAGTAAGACAAATATCGCTATATCAACTCGGCAATATAGAAATGGGGTTTTGGATGCTTTCTTATGGGATTGCGTATGGTTTCTGTGTCATTCGTAACGAATACGTTTGCTAAATTATGGGAAATTCTGATAAGAGATAACCCTCGGAGATCTTTTTCTGCCAGATATGTAATTACTCAATTTTAGTATTATTCTTCTAGCATTTGCGGTAGAAAGCAAGCCAAAGGTTTGGTTGAATTACCTTCAGAAACCAAAACCTTTTTCACCCAACATCTAACATAAAGTGATGCGATCCGGATGATTTCAATAAATTATCTGCTTGTTCTAGCTATATGTATGTATAATATGACTTATTAGTAACATCATGGCTCTAAAGGGAATATATTTTGTGTAAGCTTTAACTATCATCAGGATACACATTCTGTAAATACGAAGTTCTTGCTGATATATCCTTGCTTCTGCCATGTACCCTGCAACCCTTTTGGTGAGAGTATATTCACAACAAACGTTTCTTGATTGCCTGAATGGCTGAAAAAGCCGCTTGACAATGGAATGGTGGCAATTGTTGGACTGGCACTGGGACTGGGTTGAATTCTGACTACTTTGAATTGTGTTGGGTTGGTTGGCGGTGGGAGGGATGCACTTGTTAGCCGCAAGGTGTATGCATCCTCATCATCATCGCGGCCCCCGCCACCATTTGCGTGGCGTTTCGTGGTTGGCAGTCGTGTGGCAAACAAATAAACAAACAAACAGACAGCAAGGGGTTTCCAACAAAAGCAAAGGACCAAAGTAATTCAAAACAGAAATGTTTGAGCGGAATGAAAGAAGCCACGCGGATAATCCTTATCCTCACCCTTTCCCTGTCAAAGGAAGCACTGGATTGTTTGATTATTTAGCGCTTAAATGGCGAATAATCTACAGTGAATGAGAACAAGTATCTTTCGGATACAGACACAGAGCAGCTGTCAAAATACGAATACATCTAGTTAAACGAAAGATTAACTCAGTCATCCACTGCCGCATTTATGGCCTGGGCTACAAGTATATTTGAAAAGTTTTCTTCTACAAAAAAAGACAATGAAGAATCCCATACCCCATTTGAGAGTCATCTTTTGGCCATAATTGTGCTTGTAAAAACAAATTAAACTTCAATTTTGGGCACGGCACCGACTTGGCTCTTGGCTGCTGTCTGGCTGCTGTTCCACGAATGACTTCTCCAGGGATCAGAGGGGATCCATTTGCCCATCCTTCTTTGCCCTGGTCGTGGGCTTCGTCCTGTGAAAGACGTTAAGCAACTTCCGTTTCCGTTTCAAGTCACTTAGCGGGTTGGTAGCGAGACTTGTGCAAAAGTTTTCAATTGCCTTTTATTATTGTTGCTCCTGGTGTTCTTGTTGCTGCTGGAAACTCAAGTGAAATGCAAATTTATTCAAAATGGAGGCAAATGGAGGCAAAGTTACCGCCTTTGCTGTCCTGTTTGAAAATTCGGAATGTTGGAAGGGCTACGGCTATGACTGCGACTGCGACTGTGAGTGCGATAATTAAATATCATTTCTTTCCCATTTATATTTGCATTTTGTTGAATAATTGTATTTTATTTTAGTCTCCTCTCCATTTATTTTACCTGGCGAAATTAATTCAATTAAAGTCCTAAGAATCTTTGTTCCTCCTTAAAGGTGGTACCAGGACTGTGGCTGAAAGGAAAAAAAAGCCCGGCATTTCCCATTAGCTGCACGCGATTTTCCAATAAAATTCTAATGGCCAAATCAAATTCCCAAAGGAGGAAGAAAACCAAGGAGAGAGCTCTGCGCAAACTAGACAAAAACGTTGACGGAAATCAGATACAACTATGGATAGTTATCTCAGCGGGTCATCTCTTCACGAAAGGACAATTATTGGTGGACATGCTAATTTGTGCGTGGAAGGACGAGGACAAGGA